TATCTACTTTTTGGTATTTGTATACACTGAATTAATCTTATTGGACGGCTAGTTATTTATATGTTTTTGAATTGGGTTACGTTAATTTGTAAAAGTTACGAATGAAATGTCATTAGTTGTATTTATGTAATGTTGCTGTAAATATTAAAAAATTTAATTACGGTACGGAACCGAACCGACCCGAATCGAACCGAATCGAACTCGAACGATTCCACGATTATATTTGGACCCGATGGTCCATTTATTATACACGAAAATTTTGAGTTCCGAACCGACAGGCGGACGGCCCTAATTTCAAACGAACGCTCTAGTCCGCAGAAGGGGGCAAAGCACCAGTGCGTGCGGGAGAGGAGGAGAATGGCAAATCAGGGGGGAGGACCACCACCAGCGGCACAGATACCTACTAGTTTCGGCCACGAGCTTAGAGCCTGCCTTCGCTGCCGTCTCGTCAAGACCTACGACCAGGTTGGCTATACCCCCTTAAAACCTCCCACCCCAAAAGAAAAAGGGAAAATTTTCCGGTTCTTGTTCTCTTTCTTGTCAATAAAATACCAAGAATAATGATAATGTCACTCCTATTTTGATTGATTGTTGCAGTTTCGGGAATCCGGTTGCGAGAATTGCCCTTTTTTTCAGATGGAAGACGATCATGAGCGTGTTGTTGATTGCACCACTCCTAACTTTACTGGGTCCATTTGTTTTTGGCATCATTTTGCTTCCGAATTTTGCTTTGATTTTTCTTGCACCTAAAGAAAAAGGACTTGGGTTTTGGCACCCTTCATTATGTTTTTCCAAGTCCGAGTAGATGGGTAGGGTTTTGGTAGGTTGACAGTGACATGAATGGTATGAAAAAGGGTTTAGGGTTGTCGACCTCAAATTAATTGGGAATTCAGCCTAGTTTTTCGTTGGTTTATTCTTTTGCATATTTATGTTATTTCCGTATCTAACATTCTGTAGTTGTGTTCTTTATGCAGGATTATATCAGTCATGGACCCAACTAGGAGTTGGGCTGCCCGATGGCTCCGCATTGGTATGTTATCGTTCTTCTACCTTAATTTTCACTACTACTGGTATCAATATCTTTGAAATTTTGTGCATAAATTAAAGAGTACAACGTTTAGGGTTTAGATCAAGGATCATACCGAAAATCCTCAATTTATTGCAGCAAGGGCTAAGCTTGATGTTATCGCCCTTTGCTATTATCCACATTTCTTCATGCTGCACCTATATAATTAAATCTAATGAGTCTTTTTGCGGGTTTCAATGGTGTACTTTAAAATTATGTTTTGCTGCATTTTATATATATTTTATAGATATGTTATATCCTACATTTGTTCTGCCATTCAAACCCGGACTCCAAGTTTTGGTTTTCGTGCTGCAGTTGTTCTGTACAAACATTTTTTCTACTAAATACTGCCTGACCAATTCCGTTGGATTATCAGATTGCTTGTTCATGGAGAGTGGCAATTTTTATTTTCTGTAAATTGTTGTCTACTTGGAAACACTGCTGCTCGATCAGATTTTTCTATTTCCGTGAAAGAATGAAGTAGCCACTCCTTGGTCGTGTTTTATAGATATTTTGTAGAAGGTGGAGTTGGGATTTATACACAGGTTGTGTGCCTGGGCCAAATTAAATGGACTATTTTATCTGCATGGTATGCATATTTAGCTTGCCAAAGTTGGACTTTAAGTTGATGTCATTATGTCAATTCCTACTCACATGTTGTCCCCAAGTCAATTGCCAAGCTTCTTTAAAGAGCTTTATGTAATTTGTCTAGAATTTTTTATTTCTTTGACATTCCAACCCTGCTATGATATTTCTTGGTTCTTTTATCTGTCTAGCTCTCTCATCTAAAGGCTTTGAATTGTATCCTCCTATGATTGACCCTTTTTTATTCTATTATCATTATTGAAGAAAAAGAAATTTATCCGGCTAAAACAAATACAAGGGCTGGAAGGGATTTGAGAATAAATTTGAAAATCTTTTCATGTCAAGTTATATATTTGACAAATTAATATAACATGATGAACTTCAGATTATAGGATTACATTTGA